GAATGCTGATTGGTGAAGCCATTGTGCAAAACAGTATGGAGCTTCCTCAGAATATGATGCGATCCAGCAGTGGCTCTTCTGATACCTTCTAAAGAAAATAAAAACATTAAATTGAAAAGCAATATGCACCCCCATATTTATTGCCGCATTATTTACAAGAGCCAAGATATGAAATCCACCTAAGGGTCCATCGATGTGTGAATGGATAAACACTATGATATATAAATTTAAAATGGAATATATTTGGCCATGAAAAAAAGGAATTCTTCCCATTTGTGAAAACATGGATGGGTCTCAGGGCTTCAAGGGCATTATGCTAAGTGAAATAAGTCAGAGGAAGAGAAATATAAGATGATATCTCTTATATGAGCCATTAAAAAAAAAACAACAACCCAAGCAAGCTCATAGCTACAGAGTATAGATGGGTGGTTGCCAGAGGTGGGTAGGAGAAATGGGTCAGGGGTCAAAAGATAAAAGAAAAGAAAAGAAGTTATATAGAAAGGATTGGGGTATAAAAAGGGAAAGTATTATAACATCACCTTTACTTCTCCTGCCCTAGTCTCCCCTCCAAGACTAACCACACTTAAAAATTTCACTCTGTAAGGGTGTGTACTTATATGTGTTACACACATAGATGACAGGGGATGTTTACATGTAGAAAATCATGCTATTTAGCTTATCTTTCAGTTTTTGTAGTCATGTTGGGAACAATAGTCCCCTACAACCTTCTACCTCCTAATCCAAAGTGGAACTCTCCTTTAGTTTACCTGAATATGGAAACAACAACAACAACTCTTTCAATTGGAAAAACAACCTGATACAGGCAGAGCAGATGCCTTTTATTTGTCAAAATTACATACCGGTTAGTAGAATGTATTTCCTCAGATATGAAAAAGGGAAAAATAGTGGTAGAAAAGCGGTGTAATTCTTGTGTCTCAGAAGGTCTGTGTTCCTCTGAAGGTTAGAATGTGTCAACTCATAATAACTGAGATGCAATGTAATACCTTTGATAGAAATCCAAGGAGAGGGAGAGTCAGCTACTCTTTTGAGAAGTTTGGTTATTGTCCCCCTCTTTTGTTACACAGGCTTTCCTCGTCACATTTCTCCTTCAGCCCATGCACCTGGAGTATCTCAATAAAAAATGGTTTCATTCCGTGAAGCTTAGGATATAATTCTAAGCATGAACTATCCTCTGATAGAGGCATATTCCAATTGTTAATTATCATATAAACAATCACCACAGGACATTGTACCGTCACCATCCATCAGGCATCTTGGCCAGTCCTTCTTCCATTTAAAAATGAGTAGAGGCACCTGGGTGGCTCAGTCTGTTAAGGGGCTGACCCTTGATTTCAGCTCAGGTCATGATCTCAGGCCACTGGGATCGAGCCCCACATTGGGATCTGTTTTAGGATTCTCTCTCTCCCTCTGTCCCTCCCCATGCTTGCTCGCTCTCTTTGTCTCTAAAACAAACAAATAAATCTTTTAAAAAATAGTAATACTGAAGAAAAAGGATAATTACTTAAAGCACTTCGTTGGACCAATTCCTAGTTTGGACGTTTGTCTGCTATATTGACTCCTAGGTGAGTTATTTTCAACTCTTGTGTCTTCTATAAATGTTTGGCCCTTTTCTTCTTGTTTATCAAAAAGTGGTAGAAATTGATGAAATATTTTGTAAAGGACTTTGTTTTCCACTCTTTCTTAAATCCATACAGTAAGGAAAATAGAGTTGAAATCTTTTTGTGTGGTTTGGCGTATATTTTGCAAATAAATAACTTCATTACATTTCCCCCACCAAATGCCTAGGTTTATCTTTATTATGGGCAGTCACAAAAACCTGATGTATTTTTTAAATACTGACTTTAAAAATTGTATAGTGAGTGTTTCCAAGAGGTCAGCAGTCATGAGATTTTTGGGATGGTGCTCCTTTAACAGCATCATTTTCTCAGGTCCCGAGACTGAATTTGATTTTCTTGGCCTAGATTTCGAGAGGTTTCAAGAGGTTTCAAGAGGTTTCAAAAGGCAGGTGGATCCTCTGAAGCGTTCAGCCTAACAGCCCAAGGGAGTGGCATTGCCTCTTGGTTAATTAGTTCATGGAGCCTCCCTTTGGGCTAGTTTAGGAGGATTATCCCTACTTTTACAGATTAAGAAAATGAGGTGTGAGGCATTGAATTGGTTCTCATCGAAAGTGTGGCGGTCCATCCTAGAGGGCAGAATCGTGGACCCCATAGCCATTTACTCCTTTTGTAGACTTTGGAGTTACTCTTTCAAAGATATATTTTCAGAGCAACACTTTTGTTTACACTGAGCTCGTTTTTATAACAAACAGGTGCATATTTTTTGAGTCTTGTAGGTTTCGCTTGAATTTGACCCAGCTGTGGTTATTGTCCTATTAAGCGCCATGTGGAATCGGTGAACTTGAGTTAAATCACGTATAGCCTTACTGGGTTCACACGAAGCATTATGGGCTTTGAAAAGTGTTTATTATGGCCATCAGTGACAGAAAGACAATTTAAAAAAGATAGGAGAGACGAAAGGATATTTTGGAAAGCACCTGTGATTTGTACCCGGAAACCTGCACTAGGGTCCTGGTTCACCACGTTCTAACGGAGTGAACATGATTCCGCCACTTTGGCCACCGTTGGCTTTAGAGCTGGTTTCAGGAACAATGGGAGGCAGGTGTTTATCAGATCTTTCTCTCCCTACCGACCTCTCAAATTTCCACTCAGGGAATGATTCTTCTCTCTGATTAATTAGGCTTTCCTACTTCTCCATATCCCAATAAACTGGGTTTTCTGAGAAAAGTGTTGGACGCAGTGAAGAACTCAGTCAGGAGAGCAGCTGTGAGCATGTCCCCCCTTTACTCTGTGGTGGTTCCAAACTGACCAGACCAGTCAGGAGGATTATTAGTGTGCTGGGTCCAAAATGAAAGTTGGAGTTTTGAATTGATACCTTCTCATTTGATTTGGTCCCAGAATCCTGGATTCCACAACCAACATTGGCCAGCCATTGACCAGTCACCAGTGCAAGCCATTCCTGGTACCCAGGGTCTGAGTGAGAGAACCTCACATCCCACCCCGGGTGTCCATCCCTCCCTAACTAGTGTGTTGACTGATACTTGATATTATACTCATATCTCACGTACTATTTATTTTTAAAGGGCAAGGGAAATTGTATGGACTAATATGGAAATTTACAAATTTTAGAGACATTCTAATTGATTATTATGTTTTCCATTATCTAAAGCCATAATTCTCTACATTAGCACCACGTGACCAAGCCCTCATCCCTGAAAAGGGTTCTAGAAACATTTCCCTTATGTGCAGTTGATTTGGTTTATTTTTGTGTGTGCAAAAATAATTGAGGTTATTATTTGAAATGCCAACTAAAAATGCACTGTATATGAAAAATAGTACTGTTTCAAAAAGTTTCATTTGTTTTATACAATGGTCTTACTTTTTTTTTTCAATTCAATGTATTATTTGGATTATTTTTTCAGATTAGTATATCTGAAAACAACCTAGTTAACTTCGTTATAATAACTCAAAGCAATATATATTTAAGGTTAATCTTCACTTCACCTGGTTAATCATGAACATTTGGGGAAAATTTTTACCATACTGAGGAAAACAATTATTCAAAACAAGTGGTTTGATTTAATTCTAATAACAACCTATATACTCAGAATTATATGATTATTTTTGAGTCGTGTATTTATGAATTTCTGTATGTTACGTTTATAAATATGTATGCTTTAAAGGAAAATAGCACATTTTAGCCAATTCAACAAGAACTTTGAAGTTACTTGTTTATATAACATGTTCACCTTCACCTTTAATTCAAGAATCCAACAAGGAAGGCCTTATATAATCAAGGTCGAGAGCCATTTGAACAAAATTACTAGAGTATGTACTCAATACAGTATGAGGTAATAGTGAGGGTAGCACCATAGGGACACCATAGGGATAACAATGGAAAATCAGATAAATAAAATGTGTCACGTGTCAGATGATGGTACGTGCTCTGGGAAAATCAGCAGGGAAGGGCACTGGCAGAAGCTTTAAGACAAGCCTATGATTCATGGATCTGGCAGCGGTAGCTGTAGACAAAACCACAGTGGGCGTTAGCTTTATTATAAAGGGCTGAAGTTCCACCCGATGCAGGTGGAAAGGAGAAAATGGTGAAGAGGGAGATGAGGGGGAGGGAAGGGAGCTCCAGGAGCTTCATGCCTGTTGGCCCCAATTTCCTTAAGTTTGGAAGGAAATGAGCTGCTGAGAGTGAGTGTATCTGCCCTGGAATTTTAGAGTTCAGCCTGAGGGGTGGGGATTCAAGGTAAACCCTATGTCGTTGAGTAGGAAGGCGAGGGTGGCTGAAAGCCAAAACCTGGCCTCAGGAGAAGGTACCCTGGGGGGCCCGAGCTTCTTGCCACTGGCAATGGAGAGCCTGGAAGCAAAGTTTAGGGAAAGTGGGCTGATGGAGAGGGGAGAAGTGGAATCCGTGAGGGGAAATGGGATGGGGTCATGTTGTGGGGGCAGTGGAGGGGAGAGGGCTAAATGTTCACGTACCCAGGGGGTGGGACTAGATGGGGTCACGTACCTTGGGGAGGATGTGCCTAGATTCAGCCCCAGAGAGGAGTTATGCTGTGGATGGAGGGGGAGCCCTTCAGAGTGCCAGATTTTGTAAGATTACTTTGTTTCTTTGTTAGGGGAAAGCAGTGTTTAAAATGTTGCCTTGAAATTCTCAGGAGAGGCCCAATTTTGGGCACAGATCATGAGCAGTAAGCCACAGCTTAAGGGAAATTTTTCTTGAGAGCTTAGTTAAGGGCATGCGATGTTGCTAGAAAGTGAGCCCGGAGTGTTTACGTCGTTGGAAAAAAAGAGCAAGTTTTTAACAAAGGCATAACAGGTCTCAGCCCGTCCCTGAAAAGTTTTAACTCCTTGAAAAAAAAAAAGAAAACCTAACAGATGCTCAGTGATGTGCATTTCTTTGCTTTTTTAAAGGTGAAGCCCGTAATGCACAGCAGAATCAACGTGTCCGCGCGCTTTAGAAAATCGCTTCAGGAGCCCTGCACGATCTTGTAAGTTGAGGACTTTCACACTGCGGTTGGAAGGTTGCTTTCCTTGAGGTCTGCAATTTGTTTTATAGCTTTAAAAGTATAACTGTTTCAAATGGTGCAGCTCGCTGGTTTTACTTTTTTTTTTTCTCCCCAGCTTGATTGCAAATGGAGACCTCATAAATCCAGCCTCTCGCCTCCTCATCCCCAGAAAAACCTTGAATCAGTGGGATCATGTGCTACAAATGGTCACGGAAAAAGTCACTCTGAGGAGTGGGGCTGTCCACAGGTACGCCAAAGTCATCTTCCATGGGTGGATGGGTTGTAGAAATGTTCAGGATGATCCCCTCTGGGGAGTCACTGGACCGCAGTCTGGGTTCCAGAGCCTGTGTTCTTAATTACTAAGGTTTTCTCTAAATAAATGTCACAAATTTATCTTTAATTATATGTGAACTATCTGTATTGCCTTTGCATATTTATCTTGCTGATTTATAGATGCTCTTTACATATTAAGGCAATTGGCTCTTTCTCCTATGAGTTTTAAATGTTTCTAGTCTGTATTTTTGATTCTCTTTATGTTCTTTTTTCCTTTTCTTTTGGTATACAGTTAAGTTGAATTTTGGTACAGTCAAGTGTTCAGTCTTTACTTAAGATCATTAAGTTTTATGACTAACTTAGCTTTTCCTTATTCCAAGATTATAAAAATATTCTGCAGTGTTTTCATCTTGTACTTTTAATTTCACTTAAACCTTTGATCCTTCTAGATTTATATTGGTGTCAGGGGTGAAGGCAGATCTTAAAAGTTCTTTCTTTCTTTTTTTAGATATGCACTTGTGTCTTTTGACATATACATAAATGTAAATTCAATATAAAGCACCCAAAGATACATACACACAGTTGCATGCCCAGATACACGTGTTCATACTTATATTGATTGGAACAAATTCATTCGTGGAAATAAAATATTTGCAAGTCTAAATACAGAAATGAAAATATATATATTCTCCCATGCCCACCCCAATATTTGAATATTTGGAGAAACTCAATTGTCAGTGTAATGCCAGATATGTGTGAGATTTGGTTGCTGGTCACTTGGGACATACCCATTTTCCTTTAACAGAACATTAAAAAGCCTTGTGGTTGGACCCTCCCTGTGCTTTAGAATATTTCTATACCAGAAGCATCCCACTAAAACTGGTTCAACTCCCCATTTCGTTCTTGCCTTTTGTAAAAAAGGAAGAAAGCAGGCCAACCAAAGTCTTATAAAAGAAGGGTAAAATCACGAGTTAGAATTTATTCGGTACGCTTAACTGCCTGCAGAGGAAACCAGTCAAATCTTGGCTATTTCCAGTTCCACAGTGATGCTGTCTTTTAATTTCAAGCCATAAAAGTTGACTACTGACTTCGATCTTCCTGTTTTGAAGGAAAAATGAATGTCTGGGTCCAGGCCAGCCATTCTCGGCCTGGGACGATTTTGGCCCTGGGAGACATTTGGCAACATCAGGTTACTTTTGGTAGTCACAGTTGGGGGATGGGGCGGCTGCCACTACCATCTAGTGGGTAGAAGCCAAGGGTGATATTAGGAACACCTATAGTTCACAGCTAGGCTCCCAACTCTCCTTCCCTGTCCCCCAACAAAAAATTATCAGATCCAAAATGCCAACAGAACCATTGTTCAGAAACCATGGTCTAGGTTAAGGAGGGAAAATCAGAAAATCTGGGTTAAATGTTGATAATTAGACTTACAGGGATAGAATTACGGGTCAGAAAGAAGGAGCATCTTTACATTAAGTCAACCCAAACATATTTCAGGGTTTCTGTGGCTGTTTTCTTTGTCCTTCTTCCATCATCGGTGAAGAAGCAGACAGATCAATGCCTTTTTCTTTGCACATGTCACCAACCTTTATTAGATAGTGTTAAGAAGTTTTTTTTAATGGTTTTCTTGATCTCCTTCTAGTTATAAACTCTTATTTATCACCTTCAGAAATAGGCATTGCCTTTTTCATGGTGTTTTCTAATAGTCTTTCATGGTGATTTCTTGTTCTGTAAAAGAAATTTTTCTGTGGACCCTTTAAATCGTGTAGTGAAGTTATCACTGTTCTTTTAATAAGTAACATATTCACTGTGGTCCACAGCAGCAGTTTTACAGTAAAGGGAGGTCCTTTGTGAAGTCCCTTGATTCTGGGAAGATGGGGGGAGGCAAAAAAAAAGAAGAGGCACGAATGCTATGCAGTTCTGCACCATTAACCCTCGCCGTGGGCTCCTTTGCCTCTTGTTTTCTGCCCCCATTCTGTGTGTGTCTGGTGTAATGTTTTGGCTGAGGGCCTTTGCGCAGAATGCACGGTTTGTCAACCAGAGAAATACATTAGGAAAGTGAACTGTAAACGTGCTCACAAAATAGAAGTAGAAGACCCAACCTTAGCGGGAGCTGAGCTCCGTTTAAAGCACCACGTTTGGCTGCCTGGGGGGCTCAGCAGTTCAGCATCTGCCTTTGGCTCAGGTCATGATCCCGGGGTCCTGGGACCAAGTCCAGCATTGGGCTCCCTGCTCGGTGGGGAGCCTGCTTCTCCCTCTGCCTCCCCCTGCACCCTCTGTCTCTCATGAATAAATAAAGAAAATCTTACAAGATAAAATAAAGCATCATGTTCAGTGCTTTCCATCTGAAATCTTACTATGACAACAGGAGAGGATTCTGCTGTTGGGTTGGTAGTTTATTGGGATGAAGAACTTGTGCCGAGAGAGAGAGAGAGCGCTCTCTCTGTAGACCATGTAGCTGTCTCCACATGGTAACCCTGGTGTTTGGATGAATCTAATGACTTGGAGGCGTTTCAAAATCAATAATTAGAATATAGTAACAAATAAATAGAATAGTAACAAATAGTAACAAACAGTAACAAATAGAGCCAACTTAAGAGAGGGATGCTTCTTTGAACTTCGTAATTTTAAGCAGCTCTTTCATGCTTGTTAGAATTTTAATTGTTTGCGTTCATGTTTTGGCAGACTTTACACGTTAGAAGGAAAACTTGTTGAGAGCGGGGCCGAGTTGGAGAATGGGCAGTTTTACGTGGCCGTCGGCAGAGATAAGTTTAAGAAATTGCCTTACAGCGAATTACTTTTTGACAAGTCCACCATGAGAAGGTCCTATGGGTAAGTGTTCATCCTCATTGACATCTCCTACTTTACTTATCACTTGGAATAACACTGAGTCTTATGCTGACCAACCGTATATATTGTATAATCTTCCTCATTGGTTAGAATGGAGAGCTTGTGTGAGATATATATATATATATATTTATTTATTTTTGCCATGATTGGAGATTGGAGATTTTTCTTTTTGCACAAAAAATATAATTTTGGGGGAACTATGAAAGGCTATATACCATTTTTAAACTATTGACTTATGAATTCATAGTAAATATTTATTTAGTAAAGATTTATTTTGGTGAAGAAGATACAAGGCTATGTAGCGTATATTGAAGTTTTAATGATGTCTCTGCTGGTTAGCTAGACCAAATAATTTTCAGTTGGTTCCTATACAAACATCTACAAGTGTCAAAAAACATAATATTTTACATTTCTTTTAATAATAATGGGATAAAAATGATATAATTCTCCTTGTGTAAGTAAGTAGGGCAGCAAGAGAGACTATAATTATTACATGTAAAATTTTAAAGATTGCTCCCTTAATTACACACAGTGCCCTGTGACCCCTTTTTCTCTAGGGAGTGTCATGTATTTGCAGAAGGTGCCTTACTTCAGCCGAGCAGAGGGCTGGTAGAGGCAGGCGTGCAGAGGCCTGGCTCCCGGGCAGGTGGGGGCACCCCCTGGCTTGCTCATGATGTGTTTTTTTACATCTGTCTTGTCTCTGTGCTGCTTCTCCCAGACATTCTGTGGCCCCTTAGCTCTCAGAACCTGAGTTTTTGTGACTGTCTTTTGCGGGGGTGTGTGTGACTTGCACAGAGACAACACAAGGTCACTGATTTTTCTCCATTAATTTGATGTTTGAGAAACTTGATGGCGAGGCCAGCCCAAGGCTTCCAAATAAGTAAGGGATGAAATGGACTTTTGGGGCGGTGTTTGGAGTGGGCAAGAGCACACGGTTTTCCAGCACTGCAGAATTACTTGCCAGCAGACTTATTGACGACTATTCTTAGCCGTCCATGATGTCAGATCTGTCACCATCTCTGCTGAGCGACATTGGATTCCCCTGACGTGGGCTACAGAGTGTTCTCGAGGGTGGGGAGAAGTCTGTAGCTCATGGTGGCCTCTCACAGACAAATCAGTTAGACACATCTTCCTCTATGTGCGGAGTTCTTTTTAGAGGGGGTCATTGGGTTCCAAGATAGGTCTTTCCCTTCCCTGTGTGGAACAACATCCCTGTAGCCAAAAAGAACTTTTATTTTTTATTGAGAATGACAGGTCTAGAAGCTCCCTTGAATATAGACATCAGTGTTTTGACTTTCTGAGCTTCTGACATAGACACTGAGGACATTATGAAAACAGTGGATGTTTATTGTTTTTGACTCAATCTGGCAAAACCATCCCTCCGCTTAGGAAATGACTTTTTGAAACGCATCCAGAAAGTTTGGGATTTGAATAAAAATGCTACAGAAAAACGTACGGTGATATTAAAAGTTTATAGGGAGCATTGATTACAATAGTTTAACGTTAAACACTGAAGATCTTTTGGAATGGACTTTAATAATTGTACGATGGTCTTTGTGAAATCAGGAAAGTATGTGGTACTTTTTGTGAAACACCCGTGTCCCTTAAACAGATAACTTGCAGATTGGGATGACAAGTGGGGATAACAGTTATCTTGCATTCCTGTGTTATTTGTCAATAATATTCCAATTTCTAAATTGCTGTTTGTTTCCACAGTCAGAAAGCCTCTTCACTACCTCCGATTGTAGGATCCAGAAAGTCTAAAGGGAGTGTAAGTATCAGAGGCTTTACTCATGAAATACTCTCTATTTCTATGTGACACAGGGAGGCTGTCCTCTGGGTTTCATTTAAACTTGAAGACCTAAAACATAGCTGCTTTGTGGTATAAAAGCAATTATGTGAGACAACGCTAGAACGTTAATGTTACAGTTAAGGTCTTCAAAGTGAACTAACATTTTAAGAATAGAGGTTCCAAAGTAGGTATCTTTTTCCTTGTGTATAGACCTGATGTAACTTACTTCACAGTTGAAATCTGGGCAATGATGCATAAAAGTAGAGGAAAGGCTGCATTAGATCGCATTCGTGGTCTGCTCAGTCTGGTTTTCTCTCTCCAATAAAGACTGAAAAGAGGAAGTTTTTGTTTTAAAAAAAAAAAGGCAATCGTCAAGTTATCTTCCTTTAAAAGACTGAGAATCACTCTGCCTCATTCCCTTTCGGAATTTTTTCCATCCATGATTGGTCCACATGTTTGTTAACTCAGTGAATGTCCCTTCCTTACCTCTCCCAGGGGAACCGTGGCGAGCGCATAGTAGGTGACCTCGTAACCTGTTTGTGTCCTCAGTCCGTGGCCCCTCACAGGGAGGGGTGTGACGCCAGGCTGCAGGTCTGCTGTGACCGGCTTTTCTGGCTGGGGCTTCTCTCTCTGCTTTTTCGACTGAGCTGCTGGACCAGCAGTGATCAGAATTGCTTTGACCCCCCCCCCACCTGCACACTGCTCCCCTGATTTAACTCCGCACAATTCTTCTGTTGGTATTTGTGACATTGGTGACTGCTGGGTGATGATATGTCCCCTCATGATGATTTAGTGCCCCCCCCAAACTTTTTATATATCACGCACAATTCTTTGGAAAAAAAAAAAGAAATAATTTTGTGTGAAATAGTGCTGAACGCAGAATAACAGGTGACAGATATTTATGACCTATTCATGAGCTGAGGCTCTCACATAGTTGGTGACCAAGCTTTTGCCCCCAGGACACGTACAATCTAGCTGAAGTGGAGAGCAGAGCCTGAAAACATCTCTAACAGAGAGTATCCAGTGAGATCAGTAAACTCGAGGCAGAGGGAATGAAACGTGTGTTTGCCAAAGTGCAGGAAGGAAGTTGAACATGAGCCATGGCTTTGAGGGATGTTTGCAACAGGTGAAGGCTGTTGAGGGGAAGGGGTTTCAGATGGAAAGGATGGTGTGAGAAAGGAGCCAAGATGTGCTCTCCGAGAGGCAATCATGCAGGCTGTGATCTGTACTTAAAAACAAGAAAGGGAGGGCTGCCTGGGTGGCTCAGTGGGTTAAGCCTCTGCCTTCGGCTTGGGTGATGATCTCGGGGTCCTGGGATCGAGTCCTGCATCGGGCTCTCTGCTAGGCGGTGAGCCTGCTTCCTCCTCTCTCTCTCTACTTGTGATCTCTCTCTGTCAAATAAGTAAAATCTTTAAAAAAAAAAAAACAACAAGAAGGGGACCTCTGCACAGACAGGAGAAGGAGCACCTCCAAAGCCTCCCACTGAGTCCAGATGGCCCGTCGGGAGGGAGCTCATGCTCATGACCCCCGGGGACAGGGAGCCGCTCTGGAGCAGGGGCTCCATCATGTCTGGGGGCTGGTATGTCTGGAGTGGTAGGTGGTGGCCACTTCAGATGGCCTTGAATGTCAGAACCAAGAGTCTAGTCCTTATCCTGGAGTAGAGGGCAGCTCACGAAGGCTTCCGTGAAGTGAGAATGTGAACCCAAATCCATTCTAGGAAGGTCAGATCTTTTTTGTGGGGAAGGACTCACATGGTGAGAGTTTGCGGATGAGAGATGTCGGTCACGCGGCCATTGCGAGCAGGCCGCATCAGGTGGAAAGAGCCAGGCTAGGGAGGCACCTGTTGCCCTTGAAGAGATGGAGGACTTTCTTGGTGATGAGACACAGAGGGGTTAAGGAGAACTTGGAGCCAGAGATAGCTGTGAGTTCTCGAGCTTGGATCGCTCGGAAAATAGCGCGATCCTGGCTGGCCAAGAAGAGGGCCGTCGGAGGAAATGCTGACCTGCCCAATTTCAAACATACTGAGTGGGGAGTGTCATCGTGAAGCCTAGTTGGGAGTGACACTTTACAGCAAGCAGCTGTAACTGGTGGAGACGGAGGCCTGACGAGGGCCCGGGGTGAAGATCGCAAGTCCGTCCGCATAGTGGTCATAGCTGGAGAGCGGACCTGGCTCTGCTGTTCCTTCCTGGCACCTGGCCCAGCTCACTGGGCGGGGGCAGCCCTCTTCCTGCTGTTCCGGGGGGAGCCTGGAGAGGGCGCACATGGGCCACAGAGGACCCAGCCCCAAGGCAGCCTGACAGCATGGGTCTGCAGAGGAGGAGAAGGGAGGAGAGAATGTTCCAGTGGCTCAAAGATCGATTTTAGCCACCACGGAAGCTAAGTAAAACCTGTGAATGTAGGGTTTGGAAATTTTGTCCTCTCGCTCTTCTTCAGGATTTTGGGGCAGAATCCTCTTGTCTACCGGGCATGTGTGGGCTTATCAATCCCCTTAATGCCTCTTCAAGACTGGTGGTCAGACAGAGACCCTGGGGGACTTCATCACTGACCCGAGGTCAGCTGAGAAAGCTGGCGTCAGAACCGAGACCATAACTCGACTCTTTGCATTCACAGTTAGCAGACTTTGGAATTATGTGCTTATTATTCTGAGGTTTGGAATGTCTATTTTTTTTTTTTATTAAAAATGTGCAGTGTGTTTCCTGCTTTAAAATTCATGGGCAAGAGGCACATCTGTGTAGTTTCCTTGTTCTCTCTCTTGTTTGGACGTTATTTAGAATCTGTGCCATGAATGCTGCTTCATTTAATGGTAAATGGAGTTTCCTGCATCTCTGGCACAGAACAGAGCCCCCGGGAGATGGAGATGAGCAGAAAAAGACAGGGCACTCTGAGCTCAAGGTACACTTGGGGGAGAACAAGTTTCAACTAACAATTCCAGAAATCGGTATATAATTACAAGGTGTGGTAGGAATGAAAGAAAAGTGCAGAGCAGTAGGACACAATGAAAGGAGAACCTATTTAGGTAGGTCGGTCGGGACAGGCCTTCTCTGGGGAAATGGCCTTGGAGGAAAGACTCAACCACATGACATGTGTCCATCTCATAGAAAGCAAAGACTCAAAATTATATTTCCACGCTCTGACTTAAATAAAATACCAGTAGGGTTTGCCTCTTCCCACACACTCCAAGAGTTTTCTGTCTTTTCATCCATCTGTCTGTCTGCTTGTTCAGACGGCCATCTGACACATACTTCTGAGCAATTACTAAGGTGCTTGGAGCCACTTTATTTTTTAATTTTTATTATTTTTATTTTTAAAAAAATTCTTTAAATTTTAAAAATTTTTTAATTTTTACTTTATTATTATTTTTTTAATCGGAGCCACTTTAAAGGACTGGCTCGCAGTGGCAAACAGATCAAATTTCAGACCTCACGGAACCTTCCTTTTAGCGCTAGTGTGCGTGTGTGTGGTGGGGGTGGGTTGTGGTGGAGGAAGGATGGCCATAGGCTCTCCACCTCTAAACAAACGGAGACATCATTTCACATGGTGCTAAGCACTAGAAGGAAAATGAAGCAAGGCCCGAATTGGTAGAAAATTCTCTGAGACCTTAATGACGTAAAGGAGCCGGTCCTGTAGGGTGGGGAGGACCAGAAAGAGCCTCTGTGGCAGCGGCAACGGTCACCAAGGCCCTTGGTGGCATCTTGGCATGGGAGGAGGGAAAGAGTAAGGCCAAGTGGTCTGAGATGGGAGAGGCACGTCGGGCCAGGTCTGTAGACTCCGTGCTAGGAATCTGGATTTTATTCTTCGTTGAGACACCGTCTGAGGTTTAGGAGAGAAGAAGAGGAGGATATTGTCGGATGTACATGTCTGAGGCTCCCTCGGGCTGGCGTCTGCAGGGAGGTGGGTCGGGGGAGAACCGAAACAGGAGATGGGAGGCGGCGAGGCGGCTGGGCCCAGGTCTGGGACGCAGGTGACCCAGACGAGGTAACAGGCGAGAGGGACATCTGTGACAATTCGTCCTAGAGGATCTTGTCACTGTGGTCTCTGACCGTCGCATTCACCCAGCAGGCATTTGCTGAGCACATGTTACATCCTGGGCACTTTGGAGTGCTTGTGGGGAGAGGGAGGCCGCGAATGCAGAGAAAACAGTAAGGGGATGGATCGTACCTTCTAGAGCAGGAGAAAGACAAGCACGCAGTACGTTTGGTATTGATCAGGGATGAGCCGGAACACATCCGGGTGTGGGAAGAGGCAGTGGGAGGGCGGTGTCCTCTGGGTGCTGGGGACAGGCCAGGTGAAAGCCGGACGGTGAGCCCCAGGGAGGGACCAGCGCCGTGGGCAAGTCCAAAGTCACAGCCTTTTTTTTTTTTTTTAACAGAAGGATTATTTTACTCCTGTCCCTTAATTAATTGGGCCCCTGGAGAACGTACATGTTTTTAGGATCGTGCACTGCTTGGCACCGAGTGGGAGTGTGCACGAAGGGGCCCGGGGAGACCTAGCTCCAGGCAGTGGGGGCCACCCCCGGGTCAGCAGGAAAGGCACCCCTGAAATGCTGATTCAAGTCAGGGGGGATGCAAACTGGATTTTTAGGAATTCGTTTCTGGCAAAGCTTTCTAGGAATCGCTGTGTTGCCTAAAGAAGGGGAGTGGAGGTGGGAGCCTGAGAGAACTTAGTGGGGAAAGAAGGGAAAGCTACCAGAGCGCACGCAGGGGGCCCTGCTGGTGGGCCAGCAGCACCCACCCCGTGGTAGGGAGTGTGGGTGGTGAGGGGGCTTCCCGGCTCAGGCAGACCCTGGCAGAGCAGCCCAGGAAAGGCCCCGTGCGGAGCAGGATGGCCCCAGAAAGCCGTTCCCTACCCACACTCCTCGTGCTGGGGGAATCACCGACAGGAGCAAACAGAGGGTAATTTTAGCTTGGAGTTCCGGCCTTGAAAACAAAAGGAGGATAGACGTGGATGGTGTTAAAGTCTACGCAGTGTGAAAACCACCCCCACATCGGGAGGCTGCCCGGGCACACGGCGCGGGATCAGGGCGCCCCCTCGTGGAAGATGTGTGAACTCAGGGACCGTTGGAAGTCAAGCCCCAGTTCTTGGCTCTTCTTACCATGTGGCCGTTGAATCTTGCGATCGGTAGTTGACAGACTCGAATATTGTCATCGCTGGAAGTTCTGGTAAAAACAAACGAACAACACGGTTCTCCACGTAGCACAGAGTCACTGTAAAGCAAGATAAATTCCAGATGCTCCCGAAGTTCCATTTTGCCTTTTGGGAAACTGAGTCCAGTGTGGATAAAAAGGCTTTTTGCACACGAGCCGTCACCAGAGACGTCAGGGAGAGAAATGCCAGCCTGAGTTTGGGGCCACGTTCCTGGTCAGGAGTCTCCCTTCTGGGTGCATCTCCGAGGCGGGGGCTCCTCTGTGAGGCAAAACCCTCACAACGTCCTCTTAAACTTGATGCTTTCCGGCCTCTGGGCCTTCGGCATGTGTCCTTGGGGCTGGATGTCTTTCCTGCGGTCACGAAAGACACCTGAGTTGACAGGCTCGTGTTGGAAAGAGCCTAGGGAGCTCTTAAAAAAACCCCAGTTTTAATAAAGTAGGAGGGGTCGAAGGGGTCCTTTCAGTTTTTTGTTGATTTGAGCGGAGGATTGCTAGTGCCGCCCCGTGCACTGCTGCGTGTGAGGCGGGAAGCCGGGCAGTGGTCCAGGTCCCGCACCGGGTCTGGTTTTCTCCCAGGACACGCCACACAATCAGGCTGCTTCTTGATCGACTCTGCTTTGGCGTAAAGCCGCTGTTTGTCACCTCCCGGTGGCCTTCTCAGGGAATCGCGCCATGTAGTGAGTATTTGCAGTGTCTTGGTATTGGGAAGCTTTCGTGTCATAGGAAAACCAGACCAGGGTAACCTTGAGAAAGTGAATCCCCCTGTACCTGTAAAATGGTGACAGTAATACCGTATTTGTGTTAAACGGTATTTAGCACGTGAGAAGCACTCATTAATACTATTTTATCACCCGGCAAAGCTGTACGAGAAAGGCAAAACTCCTGTATTTCCTACACGCCCAAAGTAGCTATAACTCTCCATTTGTGTATCCAGGTTATAAGTCCTATGTGGAAGTCTCAAAAAAGGAAGGAAAATCCCCCTCTCTCCATTCCTTTGTCTCCCTACCCTCCACAATTTATTTGTAGACCAGCTATAATTTATATAATTAACTACGTGAATAAATATGAATATATATAACATAATTATGTAAATAAATATGACTATAACTTATATAACTTGTATCTTTTTGTATCATTATTACATAAATATTTCATATTGTTGACACTTCAGATGAATCAACATTTTTGTCTTTGTTAAAAAACACAGGCATTTAAATTGTTTCCAGTCTTCTAGTTACAAAACAAATTCGTCCCCTTCTTTTAGCTTAATGCTGGCCTCACAGAGCGCCCTGCGATCATTCATGATTCAGTAACTCCGCCCATGGGGGTCCGTTACCAAAGCCTGTAGTGTTACTGGCATCCACCCGGCTTTCTCAATGCTCCAGAATAAGCCCTTTTGAGTGTCCTTATCAGAAACGGAGCAAAATCAGCACTTCCTGCGTAGCCCGTGAAAGAGCTGACTTTTCAGGCTGTATGAATCCCGGGCACAATTCCGCTCTGTCCTTGTCATATGCGGTTTGCAAAAATGCCTTTTCCCTGAGAGCCATGTAGGACCATTCTGCCCAGAGCCAGAGGCTCTCCCTCACTGAGCTCCATTTTAGTTCTCAAAAGTTCCACAGCATCTCTGAACCTTCTGGTAGGCCTGCTGGAAGGGGGACTGTGCTCAGCCAGGGCTTCCCAAGTTTCAGAATTGTGGGACAAATAGACATGATGTTCAGAAAGAGACTGGAACAGGAGACCTAGAGGACGGGTGTGGACACCCCACTAGAGTCACGGGATCTGTTTCTTCTGCCAGGCAGTCCACGACCTTCTGAGAAAGGAAAGAAAAGAAACGACGACTCTGGTTGCAGTTAATGCAATAATTAAATGGAAGCGTATGTTTAAATTGCAGTTGGAATGGGAATTAAATTATGCAAAGGAATGTTATAGATTTGGACAAGTTTTCATACTGTTAATAAATCTATGCATAATTCATTTTCTTGTAGGCTCCCACAAAATAGCATAAATAACTTCATTTGTAAGGCTGTGAATTTTTCTATTCTTAATTGGGTGATGGCTAAAACCATTTAAATGCTTCTGGATGACTGAATATATAAATGTTTAAAATGAGCAGTTATAATGGGTTTCTAGGCAGATTTGTTTATTTGATATTACTACATTTATTTTCAGATCCTAGCATAGTACAGATGTTGCATAAAGATCTCACCCAATATGGTGTGAGCTGCATATGATTTTTAAGGAAAGAGATATTCACTCTTCTCTTGGAGAAAGCGCTCTGCTGCTCTTGGAGCATACGCTGTCTGACAGGCGCTGACTGGTTTTTTTTATAAATGTTACCATTTCTTCCTCACGAGAGACCTAAAGGCGGGTTTGTCATCCCCACTCAGCTGGGAAGGAAATGGTCAAAGAAGGCAGGATTTAGTTAGTCGGAGGTCCCATAGGTAGTTAGTGGCAGCGGAGTGGCTCTGAGCCATGAATTTTGGTCTCCAAAACTTGCCCTCTTTCTATGTCCTGCAGCCTCACACCTTATACACGCGAGACACTCAAGTGGGCTTAGCCCCTGAGCGTCCGAGGACCAGGTTGTCCGGTTGGGAGGGAGGTTCTTGCTGTAGCAATAGCGAAGCTGTGACAGACTCCGAGCACACCTGTTCTTTGGGCACTCACAGTGGCCACTGCTGTCCTGGCTGTTACGTGGCCCCCTGGGAGCTGTTGCTGGGCTAGGGAAACGCAACTTCACCATCGTGCTGAAGAGCCTCCTTTGCAGAGGCAGAGTCTTCATTTCCAGAGGCACGTGGAGGCCACAGGCAACCACTGAACATATGCCCACGGGTGGTCGCCTTGCGGGAGCGTGGCCTTGAGCTATCGAGTCTGTGTGGCTCCGGGTTTGTGATTCACAGGGAGCATGGCAGTCAGCAACTGATGAGTCTGTGTTTGAGGACATCTGCAAGGACAACGTGTGTCTCCTTGTAGGATGATAGCTGCATATTCACAGCGGCCACTAGTTAAGAAAGTGTGTCTAGATTAAGTTTCCAGCTGAGGGCTGTCATCACCCTTCCTCATCCAGTAGATTTTTCTGGAAGTCACAGGAGGGAGAAAGTGGTTAAGGCAGTGGCCTTGCTGGCCCCGTGGCCTTGGGCAAGACCCCACCTCTAAGCCTCATTTCTTCCTCTCCATAGTGGGCGAAGTGCCTGTCTCACGGTTGTGAGGATTGAAATGATTTTATAGAATGTCTGGTGTTGGTTAAGTATTCAATACTTTTTAGCTATTTTTATTCTCATGCTTCAGCTAGGTCCTTCTGGCCCCAGGAAAAGTTAATGTACATATTAAAACGGAGATTGGGGAATCCGCAGAACACCTCCATCTCCCACCTCTGCCCCACTGACCTCCAGTTAATGACTTACATTGACTAGGAGTCACTTTGGGATTTCATTAGCCCGTGGTTAAGTGTCTGGTCTTCTGCCACTCAGGGAAATGATCGTCAATCCAAGTCAACGGTTGGATCCAGCGACCACACGTCCCCTCAGCCCCCAAAGAGGAAAGGGAAAAAAGAGGAGGTGAATTTAGAAAAACCCAAGAAAGGGAAACAGAATGTAAAGTTAAAGAAGTCACCACAAATAAGTCCAAACGGTGGTAAGTTTGTCCTCGCTACTATTATATTTTTATGGATTATCATCTTAAGGCTGTGATACGATTTTAATTCTTAAATAAATCTGTTTCTTTGGACCAACAGAAGATACTCCTTATTGTCCTTAAGGAGCGTTTTCAAAGGAGACTCTGAGAAGGAAAGATTCTTCTGTTTTTCCCACAAAATTTCTGTTTATAATTAGAGCTTGTGTACAAGAACACACGTTTTGAGGTAAAATAAATTCTTGTGCTGGTCTCATATAAAAAAGTAAATCTTGTTAACCTTTTCTTCTACTGAAAGAGCTTGATTAACATGTTTACTAACTGCTGTTGACATTGGTCTCTCCTACTTGTGTATCTACAACCCTTGTCCACGTTGATCACAGGTTACTTTCAGTAGCATTTCCCTTTCTCCAAAAAAGATATTTTCCTAATTTTACCAATATCCAAGAAAATACAATACATCCAGAAAACTTTACCAGTAGGATGATAACATGTCCCCAAATTAGTTCTGTCCAGGTAAGAGATGCTGTAAAATAAGTTTTTAAACATTTTCATCAGTACGAGATTTGTGCGGTCAGAATTGTGAACTTCTGTAGGAAGACTCTCGTGGGAACTTTTGGGAAGACTGGCTCTTTCTGGTTTCATTCCAAGTGTGGTGTCTGTGCAGCGAGCCCGCAGGGGTGGAGGGGTGGAGGGCTGGCTGGGCCACAGGCCCATGGAGGGACTGGTTCTCCTTCGCCCCGGGATCCCCTCAGACATCTGTTGGGGCACATGCTGGGCAGGAGGGAGGTGATTGGGTGGTCTGTCATTTCGGATTCATGGCCAGCTCTCTGTCTTCCACTGGGAGCTTCAGTTTCTTGCGAAGTTGATGTGAGGAGTCACGTTAGAATGACCGGTACCATGGGCCTCACAGCGAAGGGGACATGTGAACTTGTGGGAGTTCAGAGGATATGGCAGGTGACAAAGGGGTCGTGGGAAGCTGCACGAGACCTAGAGGAACAGCCTGCATGATGAACCAGTTACAAAGAGGAGGTAGAATGCAGGGGGCTTCACATCGTTCCAGGGAGGGAGGCCAGCTGGAATGGGGGGTCCTGGTACAGCTCTGTGATGGACCTCGGGTAAGCCACTTTTGGGGGGCCCTGTCAGTTCTCTGCAAAATGTGGGTTCATACTAAGATTTAGCTTGTAAGTTTGCTTATCGTTAGGTCATATAATCCCTCGCAGATGACTATGAAACAGGGGAGGCCAGGGTCAACTGTGGGCAATGAATGTTTATTGAATGCATATTTTATGGCAGGTGCCAAGGGAACAAAGCTCTCCTGGAGGCATATGCCATACCTTGAGGATTTAAACCCACAGAGGCTTTATTTTAATCAATGTACCAGGTTGTGACGCCCCCAAGGCCCTGGGATGGGTCTTACTAGCTGTTGTGTTTTTATTCGCAACCACTGGCACGGGTCTGATAAATACGGGACACTTAATAAATATCGGGAAACGCATGCTTGAAGGCACGAAATAGACAGGTCTCTGTAATAGTTTGAATCTTTTCACAAACATATTTCTTTAAAGGCTTTGGTAAAATGTGAGTTATTTTCTGTGAGGCTCATCTCAGCCTGTGAAAAATCCCCATTCCTCCTTCCAATATGTATATTTTAAAGTCTTGAGTTTCAGTAGTTGCTTCTCAGAAGAAAGGGGACCTTTCATTCTCATTTGCAGAAATTATGCTGAATGAGCTTCTGTCTGCAGTTTCCTCTCGCCCTGGAGAGGAACCTTGACTGAAAAGTCAAATGATCAGTATTTTTGCTTTCGTAGATATTCTCACTTTTCAACAATGGTACCCGTGGGGTGGAAATCACAAGAAACATGTTTTTAAAGTGTTCAGAAAAGGCGGGAGGCCATCGCTGTTCTTCCTTGTCTGTGGAGAGCCTGGTAGTTGTATTAGATAATCGCCTATTTTAAGTGTCTACTTTCCAGTGTCTTTTGGAATGAGCGGAATATAGGCTTCTAACTGCTGGACCTCTTTGGCGTCTTTTTTTTTTTTTTTTTTAAAGATTTATTTGTCAGACAGAGAGAGCAAGCATGTGCACAAGTGGGGGTGAGGAGCAGAGGGAGAGGGAGAAGCAGACTCCCTGCTGAGCAGGGAGCCCAATGCGAGACCTGATTCTGGGACCCTGAGATCATGACCCGAGCCCCAGGCAGATGCTTAACTGACTGAGCCACCCAGGCGTCCCCTGCTGGTGTCTTTCAAGTGGCAGTTTGAGGGAGTGGATCCCCCCCCCCACCCAGTAAGAAACTTACATGATCCAGAAATGTATATAAGAGTTGAGATGAAGCATTTTGTATCTTTTCCTCTCGATAGAAATAACATATAACTTGGAAAAAGAATCTTGGCTTCCAAAAACATTTTCCCCCCCAGGGAAAATGAAAAAAAAAAAAAAAGATTTTGTACAGTTTCGTAGACTAAATTGTCACTTGACAAATTTAAGGATATTAGCTTAAGTCCAACTGAGCTGTTTCCCCTTACGAAATCTCCATCCAGATGTCTTTGGCTATAGGAATTTTCCAGGTTATAGTATCAGAGCTCTCTTCTTTGCACTCCTTAATTCAGCTTCCTATTCATTTATTCTTGCAATTTTTTTCTTGCAATTGTTTTTTACTTTAATGTCCTTTATTCTAGTCATTAGAACTAAGTGTGTGCTTTTGGCTAGTCCTATCTCAGGAGGGCTCTTGGTGTCTAGAAAAGTAAAAGCAATGAGACTGTAAGCAAAATGAAAGGGAAGGTGTGTGGTGAGTCAAGATAATGAGCAAAAAAATGCAAGAATTTAGTTCCATATTGTATATTTGAAATTTGCTAAGAGAGTATGTGTGAAGAGTCCGTATGGTAACAGATGTTAACTAGACTAACTGTGGTGATCATTTTGCAATATATACAAATAATCGAATAAACAATGCAAGAATTTGATGTCAGAGATGAAACATAGTTTTTTCTACTTGCCCATACTTTACATTTGGAATTAAGTGGTTGATTTAATTTCTTTCAAAGTGTTAAATTTTAGAGTTAGAATGAATATCCGGATCATCTCATAGTGTATGTTAAATTGTGCAAATTTTTGGCCCAGTGTTTGTTACCTATATACTGTTCTCATGTTAATGAGAAGAGACTCTTTTAGGTTGTGTTGATTTTTATTATAATGAAGGCTTAGTCATACCAGTTGTCTTTATTTAATGTTGCTATTTACTCATATTTGGGCGTCTAGTGCTGTATGAATGAGCAGTGCTGATGTCTGTCTGTAGAGGGCAACCTGGCTCTAATTTTATTTTTTCTTTTGCTTTTCTTTCTTTCTTTCTTTTTTTTTTTTTTTTTTTTTCCTTTCCGACTCTGTTTCTTTCTGTAATAGTAAAGCTTAATAATTCAGGCAGAGCTGTGACCTATTTCTTCAGGGAAACAAATCCCATTTTCTTTTGGTAGCCAAGATGCAAAGTAAGATTGGTTGGTGATTGATGAAGTTGGGTGTGAAATGCATTTTTAGTGCTGCATTTAAATACTGGCTTAACTGGCCAGCCCGTTTTCCGTACACTTTCCACTTGATTCGTAATGCCTTGAGATACCCTTTCCACCAATGAGCAAAGTAGTTATGATGATTGTCTTGAAATAGTATTTGGGGATTGATTGCATTCATTGATATTTAAACTGTCTTCCACGTGAAAAAAAAATTAGCGTCTTTAGACCCTTTGGAACACAGGAAATACAGTGGATTTAGGGCGCCTTGGAAAGATTGGAAAGGCTGCTTTCTGTGGGCGGGTCCGTCCACTGCGGCTTACGTGGTACTGATAATTGATCATTGATCATGGATCATTATAAACACTTTTTTTTTTAAGTAGAGTTTTAAAATGTAAGCAAAAACAAGACTTGTTTTTCTTGAAGTTTGCTTGACTCTGTGGATGGGAGCGTGGCGCACACACACACACACACACACACACAAACGTATCTCACTTGACTCCATTCTTGGCTTATTCTCAGCATTGTTCTGTGATGGTTCCTAAGGAACTCGCCATGTTCAGATTCCTGATGACTGATGGGGCAGGTGCAGTGCGGGGAGGGGGTGTTTAAATATTCTGATCTTGCTGGGGGACTGCCCTTGAGCGATCGTGCGCCTGAATTTTCTACAATCTGCGTGAGCTTTGCTGCGCCACCCCGGGGCTGGAGCGTTGCTGCCGTGTGTCCCCACAGTCGGATCACGGGGCGCGGAAACTCGAGTTGCTTGGGTTCAGCGGATGAACCAGCTCAGGCACAGGAAGCTCCTAGAATAGAACAGGAGGCACGAGTCCACATGTGCGCCCCCAAGCCTCACCCTCTGAGGGGGGTCAGGGATGGGAAGAAAGTCTCTAAGAAGGCGCCAGGATGAGTTCCCAAAGCAGGGCACTGATTGGAAGGCGCTGCGGTAAGGTTTCAGAGTTGTGGGTGTCTGCTGCCTCCCGCTCACCTTTGGGTGGAGACACATGGGTTTTTCGTTCCTTCGTCCACAGTGACTTATCTCAGAGGCAGTGTGGACTGTGGGATGTGGGTCATGTTTTACTACAAGTCTGAGAGCGATAGAAATGTGTAGAACAGGCATTCTACATCGTAGAATAAGAAATACACAGTGGCCTTGTCTGGGGTTTCTGGCGCAGAGCTCCCAACATGCTTGTA